GGTGGTGGAAAGGCCAGAAGAATACAATATAACAAAACCAGATCACATATCATCAATAAATTTGGGGAGATCAGAAGAACTGCACATGTATCATTAATTATTAGGACTCTCAGTTTTGCCTGGAATTACAAGATTAGTTGAGTGAGATTATTTTAAAAGTACGCAACACTGACCAATTACAGACCTGACTATATGCTAGTCCCTGCTCCTGCTGAGATAACAGCATACCAAAGAGAAATTCTACCTGTAATCCAGGGCATACACATAAAAAGAAATGTATCTTACGTGGTTTAACATTGGAGTGATCAAGCTAACAAAATAAAGACTTTTCAAAGCGGTGCCTCTCTAGTTACAGGCAATTAACATACCTTAGTGGCTCACTGGCAGAAGCTGAAGAGGCAAACTTGCTATTCACTAACTTTAATGGTAAACGTGTGGTATGCCTTTTAACTGCCAAACTTTTCTTCGACTGCCTTACAAACTAGTCATCCAATCACTAGTCATTCAAATGAAAACTTTCAAAGGACAAAAGACAGCAATCACAGACAGGATCTTGGAAGAAACGTAAAGGAAGGGAAAGCAGTAACCAAGTGTCATGATACTGGCAGAGTCTATATCTTGCGCCAAGGACGAGAAGACACGTATCTTAACCATGCCTTAAAACAGTTTACAATCAAGGATTCTCCCCTTTCATATGAAGTATGGCTGGCTGCAAATAAAAGCACCTGTTTCTTCAGAATGTAACTAAATCAGAAGATAGGATTATTCCCTTTTCTCTGCCAAGTAATCTCTGCATTTCTGATACCTCCCACACTGCTTGAGTGGTTCAGTTTTTCCTTGCTTATTCACGCCCACAGCCCCAGCTTCCATCACCAAGAAGTTAGATGATTCTTCCAAGTCCTTGCCATAACACTAATGAAAAAACAAAACAAAAAAAAACCATATTCAACAACAGATTAAAGTTCAAAAAAACATTAGCTCAAGTGATTAAAAGCCCACAGATTTTATTTTTGCATAATTTCTATACAGTCCCTTGACACAACAGGAAAAAAATTACAGGGAAGCTTTGGAAAGCTAATCTTCCACATTTGTGTGGAAGAGATAAACAATGCATCAATTTTTTTTTTTATTAGAAATTATTTAACTGTTGCTAGTTTAAATATTTAACAGATCAGCATTTAGACAAATCAATTCTGATCACTGAAGATTCATTAAGTCCTTTATTACATACTTACCTCATCAAGGAACTCAATTTTCAAAGAGGACTCTGCACTTTCAGAAATAGCGCTAGGTACTTCCTCTCTAAAAACAGATGTCCAATATCTCTTCACCTCTTCAACTACAAAATACAATCAATTTGATGTATTTCATTTTTTCCTGTTCAAGACACACTTATAAAAATGCAAACTTTTTATTATGAAGTACCATAAATTTCTCCTTTCATTACTGCTACTTTCTTTAAGCAGCAATTGCTTAAGTATGTAACTGTTCAGCAATCATAGCAAAAAAAAAAAATCCCAAGAAAAAGTATTTAATCCTTAGATTCAATAAACAGAAATCTATTACACCTGTTAAGTCACTGACATCATCATCATCATCATCTGTTTCTCCCACTCCTCCAATCACAGCCTGATGTACACACAGTGTTTGCACAGGCCTTAAATCTTTAATGCAGCTGCCAGAAATTTGATCAACAGGGGTTCTAAAAAAGGAAGATAAATCAATCTTTAAAAGTGATCTTTTTTTATATATAATATCACAGCCATTAAAAAACAAAACAAAACAACACACCACACCACTTACTGCAGCAGTTATTAACTGCTGCTGAAAAGCAGCAACTCTTCCTAATTTCATTGAGATAACCTCACACCTCAAGGACTAACAAAACAGATCTGTAATGTTTCTAGAAGTATCCTGAAGTTCATACTTCCTTTCCTCTATAAAACTCCTGTAGTAAATGCCCCAAAAATCAAGAAACCAAGTATCATTACCAGTCTTCAAATTCTACAACAAACTGGTAACAAAGGGAATCCCTCCAAATACTACTTCTGCAGTAATTCTGAACTATTAAGTCATCAAGTCTGGTTATAGTGGTTCTTGTATTAAAATAAAGCACCCTATATATACAGTCAAGTTAACTCTTGATAATACATCTAATTTTTTAAAAGTTTCAATTGAATTTGTGTTAATGCTGTGAAGTATTTCTGACTTCTTTCATTAGTACCAGCAACTTCAACAATACCTTCTGTATTTCTTAAGCAAGAGTTTCTCCATGTAGCTCAGGCCATCCTTCTTGAATTCAATTTGGATAGGTTCCTTCATAACAGTAAGATTGGTCTGCACCTCATGAATTCCCACAGATTCTATTAGAATTATTTTTAAAAAAATTATACAGCTATTCCAATTTATAAATTTGCTATTCAACTACATTATTTTTGAATGAATGTCACATTAGTAGTCTATGCTTAGCTAAGTCTTTGCATAATTCCTAAATTTAAATGGCCAGCAATATTATATTTACACAACACAGTCAGTAGTGGGGCTAGCCAGTAAAAACCATTTATTACACTTTCTCACATAAAGGAAGATTACCACATTGATGTGAGGGGGGAGGAATCCGTGACTCCACACAAAAATCCTACCATATCACAGGAAAAAAGAAGAAAAAAAGCTATATTTTTTGTACAAAAATACACGAAGAATGAACACCATCCAGACAAGAGGGAAGACTCTAGTTTGCACAAATCCAAACAAGACGTTTGTTCATATTTGTCCATGCATACTTCAACTGATTGCATCTTTTCACTGGGACAAAGAAATATTAAGAGCCTGTGGAAGGCAAGCAGAAAATGTACTTTGATACAGCATACAAAATCCTGAGCCATGCACATTCCTTGTCTCAGTCAAAAGCTGTGACTTTATGCTTGAGCATTACAGTTCATATTAAAGTCTCATGTGAGAAACAACACCATAGAAAAGTACAAGGACATAATCTAAACTATTTGGCCAACGCCACAGCTGATTACAAGAACTGGGTAAACACTAGCCTGCACATTATTAAAAAAAAAAACCCTTCAGAGGTTGTTGTTAATTTAAGGAACATGGAAAGAAAACTTAAGAAGAAACATTTACTATTCTAACAGAACATCTGCCTTCACTAATCAAAAACCTGCTAACTCACCAAAATAGCTCCTAATGTTTTTAAAATGCAATTAAAACAGAAAAGAAATCATACCTGGTCGGACCTCACTGGCACGCAGTTGTTCTCTGTGATCACGATTACCCTTTCTCCACTGAAGCAAAGCTTCCTGAAAAGCCTTTGCAGATTCCTCCTCGTTAAATAGACCGTTTAGTAATAATCCTTTGTCCTGATTTTCGAGGCCTGTACAGGTTGATTCTGAGGACAGTTCCTAAATCAGTGCCACAACATAATTAATACAGCACTTCTGATGATAATCCTTTCCCCAATTACATACAATAGCAACAGTATTTTTAATATCTGCTATGGAACCATTTTCTGGGCTTAGGCTAGCTACCCTGATAACCAAGGTCACTCAGTTTTTACATGGTTTTGCTCACAACTAAATTGCAGTGTTCTATCAAGAGCAAAATAAAAAAAAAATTAAAAGCTTTTAAAAGGCAGAAAGCAGCAGCAATGGGTCGCCCACACCCTATGCATAGGATGGGTATTATGTTGACAAACATGAACAGGGGTCAATGGGTTGTGCAAGTCTGACAGCCTGATCCCTCATCTGGCACACTGCAGAAAAAACTATGGCCACTCTACCTAAGATGTCCTAAACAAAAAGAATTTTATTTCCATACTGTACACAACCTCAGCACTGCCTACCGATGCTACGAGAGATGACAACTTGTCCGATGTGACCTGATGCTTGCTATTTACTTTCTGCTGCTCATGATTAATTTTCGATTCACTCAGATTTACTTCCTTGATGAAGTGATCAACGACCTCCAATTTTCCAACATGTATATCAGCTTCTGTCTGTTAATGAAACATTATGAAACCATTAATTTATTATAAACATGCTGAAAACATTCCACCAAGCAGCATATTAAAAGCAGGTGGGTAACCACATACTGAAGAGCGATGATGAAATAAGCACATAATAACTTCAATAACCAATAGTGTGCAAGTGTGGGAGCAAAAATTCAATAATCTGGATCAGGACAGACTAAGCAAGGCATTTCATGCAGCACATGTCATTTAAACAGATTTATGAGCTATGTGCTTTATTAATGAAGTTCTGCTTACTGAAGCTTTTCTGTAGACAGAAGCACATCTGTAGAGGTCAACAAGAGGAAGATTCATTTAAGGAACTAACCGGAATACCCTTTCACACACAGTAAGTAGTCCAGGAAAGTGCAAACTAGAAAGAATTAGATGAGTTTGACTGAAAATAGCTGCAGAAGGAGAATAACAGTTTTGCTCACACTGGGACTTTACTGATTTGCAGCCTTCATTAGAACAAAGAAAATTACTGTGGAAATATAACATGAAGGTTTTGATTGTCAACTCTTGAATTATGATCAAGCAAAACTGAAAAATATTTTATGTTCATCCTTTCCCTATGTTCCCTTCCTATGCACAGAGACCAGAAAAGATCCTTTGTCTACAAAATCCTCAAGTAAGGAACACATTCTTACCACAAAAGCCCGAAAGCAGCAAAGGTACAGGCAGAAAGTGTAACCAGAGTCAGATATGTCAAGGAGCCACCAGTTTTCTAGCAAAACTAGAATGTAGTCATGTCTCCTTTCCACCTACTCTACACTATAATCGACCCAGCGACTTTGCAGTTGCTGGTTGCACGTTAAATGGTACTTGCAGCATGCCAGTGAGTATGCATGGAAACGAACCCCTTCAAACCGCGGTTACTTTTTTCCTTTTGCAGTCTTCCTCCGATTCTTACACTGCAGTGTAGGATGAATAAGGTTCAGAGTTTACCGTATGAACACACATGCTTTCTTCTTCCTCAAACCTAGTAGTCCATAATCATCCATAATTGATAGCAATTCTTTTTTTCCCCAACATCACCAACATGTTGCTAGCACACACGGAGACCACAGAAGCGTTATTACTTAAAGACAAAGAGGGGGATTTCCCTCTGTAATTGCCCTTCTTGGCTCATGCTGTTTTCTACGGCACATGCATTCAAAGTACACAGCTAAAGACTGTGTTGATTTCTTTTTCACCACATGAACAAAACAATCTTAACGTTACAGTAGAATTCAGTAGAAGTCACATTCCTTTGAAGGAGATAATTTTAGTGATGTAGCTTCATACATCTGCTCTCTTCAAGCAAGCATAGTTGCCTATGTTTCCTTCTGGTACTCCGGCACGTGGTGTATAATAGCAGATCAATACTTGAAAGGCTCACCCTGCTGTGTTATTTGTATAAACATCATCAAGATTTTGCTCAACTGCTTCAGAACACTTAAGCAGGAATTGCAAAACTGCTTTTAGAAAATACTTGCAAAGCTTATTTGTTTTGGCCTCATGTTAAACTTCCTAGCAGCTGAGCTCAGAACTCCTACTTCAACGTCTAACCAACGTGGGCGTCTCTCTGCACTCTTTTGTTAGCTCCCTTTATTAACAGAGGAAGTTTCTAATTAGTTTCAGAGTAGGACTGGAGAGAATGAGGAAGAAGACAAGTAAAAGGGGCAGGGTGTTGAATTAAGACAACTTGAGGTGGAATTCTCCTGATGCAGATGGAGTGATTCATGATTCTCAGTTTAAATCCTTGTATTCTTCCAATGAACTGCTATCTGGCCTTTAATTCCCACAATAAATTCCAACATTTCCATCCAGTTTGTTTAACCCCGAAAATGAGATAAGTGGCTTATCCCTTTTAAAAAAAAAAATATATATATATGTAAAAGAGAATGCTTTAAGAAAGTCAAGATTTATCACTGTTATCTTACTATTGTTACCACCCAGTTTTCAGTTCTAGCTTTAAAAGATCTACTACAGGCTATTAAAAAAAAAAATCCTAAACAGTCTGCATTTAGATGTGTGTGGTGAAGTACTTTTATATGCATGCAAAACAGCTCATGGAAAAACTTTTACATCAACTGCATAGCTTCAGATAAGACATCATATCCCAAGAAGATGATTTATTGTTGGCTTTTCATTACTCACAGGGTGGTATATCCTTCTGTAAGCGCCTTAAATTCTCACCTGAAGTTTTTCCATCAAATGATGTAATCTTTCTACTAACATACTATAAGCAAGGATCATTTTGACAAAGATGTATTTATCAGACCAGTAGCTTTGACAATTTACCACAGTACTAAAAAGATTATATTTCTGGGAAGAAAGAATGAGATAATCAAATAAATTTTAGCAGTATAAGAGAATGACATATCCAGTGACATCATCAGAAAGTAAATTTTTCCTTCAGGAAAACCTCAGATGGTAGTACTGAAATAGTTAAATCAACTTACACTTAATCCAGACCCTATCTTTATTTTCTATATGTACGTTAGCTCGCAGTTTCGCGATAAAGTAATTTTGATTCTTTGTAATCATAAAAATGACATGAGTCCAAACTTTTTTTTCATAAGAAGTTCCTGACATGGCTTCTCTTTGATTCATTAAGATCAGCTATAAAACAGTCATCATTAACATAGGAATGACAGAAAACGAAAACAAGCATAATAATATATATTTGAAAAGGTATTAAAAACAGCAAATCGTGACCTTTATTGAAATCAAATTTGGAATAACCTTAGGAGAACAAAACCAGTGGTTTTGTCCAAAAGGTAAAATCCAAAATGCACATCCAATTTGGTCCAAAAAAAAAAGAGTTGTTACAACCCATTTATGAATGCAATCAAATATAACACATGAGAAACTGAAGTTTGTTACAATTAAGTGTTACACAATAATTCCAGGAGGAATCTTTACTACCCTAATTATAAAATTATAAAATTTTTATTGTTTCATAACAGATATGCGACAAAGTTATATGTTAGAAACTGAATATTACCAACCTGACTAATAAAACTAGACACAACTTAAGTCTCCACTGAACTATGTAACATTTTATTTCATCACGGTTTATTCCTTTGTGAGTAGAATCCAATCATGAAAGAATCAGGAATGGTGAAAGTGGCATCTGACAGAACAGACATAATTATAAGTAGGAATTTGGAGTTTCAAGCTTACTTATAACTGTATTTAAATGACAAGTAACATAGACTGTTAGATATACTCACAAGGGTATATAATTGTTCATTTATCAAACACCTTTGGCCATTTTTAGTACTTACAAATTTTTTTTTCTAAATTGCTCAACACCCGCCAATTTGGAAAAGCCTCACACAATATCCCAATAACAGTATTTCAAGGAGCCAGTGTAAAGACCTCCTAGCCCAGCAATTTGTTACATGTTTCCAAACACATAACACTACCATTGGTTCAATTTAACCCAGTTTTCCCACGAGGTGTGCATAACGACAAAAATCCATCAAAGCATAAGAAAAGACAGCATGATTTTTTTTCCCCTCAATATAAAATCATAGAATTGTTTAGGTTGGAAAGACCATTAAGATCATCAAGTCCAACTGTTAAACCTAAGGTTGCCAAGTCCACCACTAAGCCATGTCCCTAAGCACCACATCTACGTGCCTTTTACATGCCTCCAGGGACGGGGACCCAACCACCCTTTCACTGCAATAAAACATACGTATAAAATAAATATTTATTGCAATACTCACTGCAGGGGGGTTGGACTAGATGACCACTAGTGGTCCCTTCCAACCCTAAACATTCTATGATTCTATGATACTTGCAGTCAAACAGCTATGCTATTTGCTTGTATGAAAACTTTTTTTAATTGAAAAACTTTCTACTGAATAAGACCGTCAGACGGGATAGCACGAAAGTAATCCCTTTGCAGCCTAAGCAGAGTTAAAACAATGCCTCGCTACCCACCGGCGTTGTCCCAGCCTTACAAGACCGGGATCAGGCATCAAGCGCCGGGAAGCACAGCTCCGCCTAAATTGACGGGGGCGGAGGTGGAGCAAGCCCAAATCGCGGTT